CTCGCCCACTCTCGTGGGGCGGCTCGCAGTCTTTAGGTTTTCAGTTGTAGCTCCGCGGAAGTGGGAGGCCCCCACGGCTGTTGATGAACGTTCCTTTTTGGTTTGCCAGCGTCATTGCGCATTCGTTAGGTCAGCCATGCGAGAATCGGCATGAAGCCGCGGTCTGGGTTGACAGCTGATTAATGTCCAGCAACTGTTCAGTGATGGCTTCTGAGCCTTGTTCGGTCCAAGTCGAGTGCATGCGTGTTTTGGCCTTGTGCGTAACAGCAGAGGGATTATGTGTTTCGGTGTTGGTGGAATGGGATAGCCGACCTCTCGATTGACGGGTTCATCATGTACGCCAGTGGACGCCCCAACGCTGTTCGCTGTTCGTGGCACAGCAGCAAGCGTCGGACGTCGGTCGGTGCAAGTCCATAACATGCACGAGGCAACCCAGAGTTTCAATAGACTGAAACCAGGTCTAGATGTGGCCCACCCACCCAGTCCATACTTAGTGCGGAAGTGGGTGGAGGAGAGTCCAGGTGCGCGCGGGAACACAGTCAACCCGCCTAGTAAGGATGGGCAACCTTTCCATGGGTACCCGTGCATCCTTGCCTCCTCGGTCCACTCTTCGCCTCTTTCGTTGGCCGCGCCCCGTTCGGAAAGCTTGGACATGGGCGCCCAAGGCCCTCGCATCCTTGTCGCGCACCCTCACTATGTGGGCTGAGTGTATATGTCCCACGCCGGCGGCGCTCGGGGAGGTGCAGGCGTAGAGAACGAGAGGGCTGCCGGCCCCTGTCGGGGGGCCCCGGATCTGGCCAGATTTTTTGGTGTGCCCCCCCGACGTGTTGATTCCGGCATGTGGGAAAGCACGGAGATCGGCTGACATTGTCTAGGGTCTAGGCTTCCTCTCTCGCCACTCGCCCCTCGACCCTGCCTCCTCCCTACCCCCTTTTTTCGTCCTCGATGTTCGCTCCTCTCTCGGCCCGCGCCAGCGAGTTGGCCTTTTCCATGCTCATGCGGAAACATTCAGCATGAAGCTCTGGTTGGCGTGGAGAAATCAATGCGCGCTGGCATAAACGTAGAGGCCTCCTAGATGGGGTCGGAGCAGATGGGGTCGGAAGATCGCGCCGCATCGCCGATGTGAGCAGATGTGGTCAGAGGATTGCGCCGAAACGCCGATGGATCGGCGATGCGGCGCGATCTTCCGACCCCATATGCTCCGACCCCATCTAGGAGGCCCCCACGTTTATGTCAGCGCGCGTTGGTTTTTCCACGCCAGCCAGAGCTTCATGCTGCATGTTTCCGCATGAGCATGGAAAAGGCCAACTCGCTGGCGCGGGCCGAGAGAGGAGCGAACATCGAGGACGAGAGAAGGGGGTAGGAAGGAGGCAGGGTCGAGGGGCGAGTGGCGAGAGAGGAAGCCTAGACCCTAGACAATGTCAGCCGATCTCCGTGCTTTCCCACATGCCGGAATCAACACGTCGGGGGGGCGCGGGCCGCGAGAGGAGCGAACATCGAGGACGAGAGAAGGGGGTAGGGAGGAGGCAGGGTCGAGGGGCGGGCGGCGAGAGAGGAGTGGAGCTGGGGAAGGAGCGTGGGAGGTGGGGCGAGGAGGAGGGGCGAGGGAGAGAGAGGCGGAGGAGGATGAAGCTGTGGGGAAAGGAGGAAGGAGGAGGAGGTGGAGGAGGAGGACTAGGAGGAGGAGGAGGAGGAGGAGGAGGAGGAGGACTAGGAGGAGGGAGAAGTCGGAGGATAGGGACCAGCCCCGCGACTCAGGAGCCAGATGAGTTTGAGCCCGCGCGGCTCTGTCAAATCGGCCACGGACAGCGTCCGTCGCACCTCTCCACCGGTGCCCCCGCCCTGGGGGGGTCCTCCGGCCGCATCCTCGTCCTCGCGCTCAGGTGCCAGGGGTCAGGTCGATCCGATCGATCCGGTTCGATGTTGGTGCTGGCCGGCC